ATCCCTAGCAGCATTTTGAGCTACAAGATGAGCAAGATGTTCAATCTATTCTTGCAGTCCTCTTATAGCCTCTTGGAAAACCTCTACAGTGACATGTTGTGGTCTTCTATCACCCCTACCACATCCACCCCTTGCAGCCATGATAATATAGAAAACACAAGGAGATGAACTTTGAAGCAAACCCATGGAATGAACTTGCTCTGATACCACTTGATGTGGACAGAAAGACAAGTTACATGCAGTACCTCAAGTATACAGCACTAAGCACAAGAAATACCAAGCTGAAAACAACAAAATAAGTTGGATTTTTAGGAATTTCAGACCTGAACCTGAAGTAAAACTCCTCTTGGAACAGTTCCGCTACAGTAACAATGGCAGCAAGTTGGTCTCCCGCGCAGACATGCAACGATGGGGGGATTGGAAGATGCCAAGATGGGTCGACTCCTCAAAACCCAAGCTCCCAATGCTTGAAAACCCTAGCTGGGGCTAAGCTATAACTCAAACAAGAGAGAAAGAACCAAAAGAGACCCCTACTAAAACAGCTCCCTTCTCTTTTATAAGACTCGTTGGCTTACTGGACAAGTTAGTTAAAATATTTACATATAAGCCCCTAGAATGTTTCCCCCTCACCAACAGCTCCTTAGGAATAAAACTAACTTTAAATGAACACCTAAAAGATAACTTTTGTTACAAAAAGACCCATGAGACCAAAACCCAATAGAAATGCACCCAACTGCCCCTGACCAAAAATCTGAGTTATAAAATGACGAAAATACCCCTGATCCCAAACTGTCAACAAAGCTACCCAAAAACAACAATTTGGGATCCTACTACAAGAAAAACAAGCAAACCTGAATACATACATTTTTTTTCTTTTTTTTCTCTTGCCTCATTAGCTTATCTTTCAATTTTCAATTTATTTGCATTAGATAGAAAGTTTTTATGTTTCTTGATGCACAAGACAAGGAGTGGCATTTTTGTAATTATGGTGAACAATATTACAGGCCACAAGTCACTCTATATAATAAATAGATGTATTCTCTTCTTTTTGAAGCTAATGAATGAATGAAGATTTCTTAAGAGCTCTCTTGTTGTATGGAGTGATTCCTACAAACCCTAGAGTGATTCTAGGACCCCTTGGAGTGATTCCTTGGGATTTCTCTCTTTCTCTTTCTCTACCCTTTCTACTCGGAGGCTGGAAGATGAGATGAAGGCTCTTTCCTGCTTCATATGGTGTGGCATTCTGCAGTCCCTTCGAAAGTCTCCTTTCTGGTGTTGACAATTCTCAACACTTGTTTAAATGGAGAGACTTATGCCATGCGTAATAATGCTTTGGAATGCAGTAATCACATTTTATCCATTGTAAGATAGCAATTACCTCTAGCAGTGGGTGAAAGATACTTTTGGGGCAGTTGGTTGCAATTAAGAGTCAGTGATTGATTTTGCAAATTGTCAGAATCTTAGGACTCGTTTGGCGTCCATCCAGAGAATCGATTCTAATGATTCTAGCAATTCTCTGGATGAGAATGTCGTTTGGAACTGGTCAATCCAAATTTCCCATCTCATTCTGGATGAAATTTTCGATCCAAAGACGTGATTCTCACAAGTGAATTTTTCACTTCTAAGAATCATGATTTTCAATTCTTGCATTTCTCGCTACATGACTTTAAAATAACGAACATGTGTGACTTGGTCACGCGTGAAAAAAGGGGTAAAAGTGCAATTGATTATTTAACATAATCCCATTCAGTGAAAAGACATAACCTGGTAACCCCCTTTCTTCTTCCTCTTTTACTTCTTACAACATCAATACACTTTCATGGTTCACCAGAGATCAATGCCTCCCTTATTTGCGTTTGATTTACGTGACCAGTAAAACTCTGATGTGTGTTGTCAGTCGATGTTTAAAGACGTTGACAATTGTGCCAGAGAAAACCACTCCAACGATTATTGTCGAAGAAAACAACTCTGACAACTGTTGGCTTGTTGCTAGTTGAGCAAAGAAAAGTTGTTGAGAGTTGAGACTTCTTTCAAGCAATGAGAAAATGTGTGGCTATCATTGGTCAAGAAGATTCGAACAATCATTGGATGGAAATCGGATTTGGCCCTCACAAGACTGTGCTCACACCATTCGCAGTGCTCACACCATTCGCAGTGCTCACACCATTCGCACAATGCCTTATAGCCTTGCAATGGGAATATCTCCCCATGAAAAAAAAAGCATACAAGTATGGAGATATTCTCAATGTGCTGCTGTAAAAGGCTGTGAGAACGATGTGAGTACAGTCTTGTCACTTGTGAGCCTTGAATCTGATCTCATTGGATGAACAAAGAAACACAGTTGAAGTGGATTGTAATGGCCTGTATAGGAGTCAATGAGGCAAAATAATTTGATTCTTTAACAAAGAAGAGATGTGGGGTTCCAAGGACAAGGAACATCTTATAATGGATAAAACCGTTGATTATTTTGCTCTTAATGGACTGGTTTAACGAAAGCGGCGAGATGATCTAGTAGTGCTGTTGAAAACCATTCTGATGACATCATCTATAACTTCACCAAATAAGACAGTTTAGAGGAGGGGGAGGTGGAGGAAGAAGAAGAAGAAATAGGTAGTTCCAAACACTTTACTCTTCTTAAAATCTGCAAAATTCTTAGAGTTCATTCTTTTAAGGATGTATTCTAAGAATTTTGCAGATTTTAAGAAGAGTAAAGTGTTTGGAACTACCAATTTCTTCTAAAAACTAGGGATGTCAACAGTTTGGGTCTGGGTCCAGATAGTAAAACCGAAACCAACCCAAAAATGAAATATCAAGAAACTGGAACCAAACAGACCCTATAGGGTCCGTAAATTTAGATCCAGAACCGAACCTTTCAGCTATCGTGACAATTGGGTCTAACCATGGACTCGATTATGATAAACCTGCTGAAAATATTATACATTTAATAATATATATACTAATTTATTTATTATATTATACATTTGATATATAATTATTTAATATATTATACATTTAATACATATACATAGTTATATACACATATATGGCTTGGGTTGGGTCTGAGTCGGTTTTGAACTAGTAGAACCAGTTCCAAACCAACAATAATCTGGACAATATATCAGGAATTGGAACCGACCATTCGGTACAGACCCTGGAACCAGAACCGGCCCAATCAGTTTGGGTCCATTGGATCAGACCCAACCCATTAACAACCCTACTTAAAACCCAAATGAGGGGGAACCCATGTAAGTATAGGAAATATAAAAGAAATCAACATGAAGTAACCTTCAAAGTGAGGATACATGGAGGAGGCTGGGTGTAATCAAGTTGAATCAAGCCAAGTAACAAGCTGCCCGAGCTCAAGCTCGACTCAAAAACACAAAGCTCAAAACTTGACTTGATCTCGATTGAGTTTCATGTATTTGGCTCAAACTCAACTCAAATCGATACTCACGAGCTACTACCCAACTCGACTCGAGCCAATTATAAATAAATTAATATTAAAAATCATAAATAAATCAATATTAGGTATATTAAAATATTAAAAATAAAAATATATTAAAGAGTTATAGATAAATTAATATTATAAATTCTATAAACAAAAATATATTATTAAAGTCAATTATAAATGTATCAATTTATATTATAAATAAGTTAATGCCAAAAATTAATGCTTTTTTATATTATAAAAATATTAAAAATAGTATTTTAATATGGCTCAATTAGGCTCGTGAGCCACTCGATCCGAGTATTGTGAAACTAAAACTCATCTCAACCAACTACCGACTCAAACTTGGTTACTATGAGTCGAGCCCAAGTAGCTCACGAGTAGGCTCAGCTCACTTACACCCCTTGAGACCAAGAAAGTGAAATCTAACTTGCACTAATAAAAGAACTAGAAATTCATTAATTGGGCCAGAAGAAAAACTCCAAAAACAAGAATCGTACAAAGGCTATAAATGATCTTGTTACCATTTCTCATAGCAGTGGAAAATTCGACCAAATAAAAGATGCCAATATTCTTTTGTTTTCATACGTAATAGTCTATGAAATTCTTCATACAATAAATTCAACCATAGGCCTTGAAAGAAGACCCCCTTTAATTCAACAAAGCAACACACTAGATGCAGTCAATAATCAAAATAAGGCAAAATCAGAATGCAGCAAACTGTTTTTACAATTCACAAGGATAAAGTGCAAAACTACCCCTTGTAAGCATATCTGAACGTGTTAGAGAGTAGCCCAACAACTTACAGTACTTGTATATTTTCTCTATTAAATTAATATCATAGCAATAGCATGTGTAGTAAAAAATATAATGAAAAGAAGTTTTTATAGCACTAAAAAATATTATTGATTATAAGAATAAAATCAAAACTAAGATAATATTATATCTTGGGACGAATGCAGAATTAGCTGTGCAAAGGTGACATCAGCCAAAATAATATCCAGTTTCACTTACATATTCATGTTCATGTTGCAATTGATTTATTAACAGTTAGATTACACAATGAACCATGAAATTTTAACAGTTACGTTTTGGTACATAAAACTTGTTTTTCAAGAACAAAACCAGAAATAATCATAAAGAATTGAGTATTCTAAAATTTCATAAGACTGAACACAAAAAAATGGTTCTGAAAATTAGTCAAGTTTAGTTCCAGAATGAAGGTGCCGGAGCAAATTATTGTATAGGATCCTCATACCAGAATCGGTACCAACAAAAATATTAATATAAATTCAGACCAACTTTTGATCTAGCACATAGATAAATAACAAAGTCTCACCATAATGAAAGCATGAATAAACGGGATAAATCCATATAAACAAGCATACCGTATCTAGAACCGCACAATTATGATAACCAGCAAACAAAATAATTTACAACATATCACTGCAATTCCAATATTCTAATAAAGCATTCCCTTATATTCAAAACGCCCAAAAGCTCATCGTGAAACGCAGCATTGACAAGCAAGCAGTAAATCTTAAACTCTCACCTTAATAGTGTCATAGTGGCTCCATCCAACCTCCGATGAAAGGCGACCCAACAAACAGTACTTATGCCCGGGTTGAAGCCTCAAAACCCTAATCTCACAATGGCCCAGAATAGGAGATCATAAATATGAACCGAAAAAGAATAGAAACCCACCTCGGTCTAATAGCTAAAACACTTACTTGAGTGCGTCAGGAATGACCATCCTCTTCATCTTATCATAGGGAGGAGGAATTCCCTCGTAAGCCTTCAAGCGACCAAGCGCAGCCGCTCCACGCTTAGTCTTGTGAGGAATCATTCTGCAAAACAAGCACGAACGAGAGAAACTCAAGTGGGTTTGATTTACGAGAGATAAAGAAAAATAAACAGACAGACAGAGCATCTACGGACCCTCGAATCGTCCTCCAGAGGATCTTAGCAGGGGCGCGGAAGTGAATGGGACCGTGAGACGGTTTAGTGTTCATCCGCTTTCGGAGGAAGCGAAGGTACTTCATCTTCTGGCGAACGAGGCCGCCAGAGAGACAGATCTCTTCGCACCGGACGACAACGACCTTCTGGCCATTGAGAAGTTCCTTCGCAATAATGGAGGCCAGTCGACCGAGCATGTGGTGGCGCGCATCCACCACCACCCTCCGTGCACAGATTCCTGAACCTGAAACCATTTTGGTTGGGTGCCGACGGCTGAGAGGAATGAGAATAAAGAAGAGATTGAGGGTTCAAGAACGGAGACAAAGAGGTATTACCGTATTAGGGTTTGACTCAAGTAGGGGGTTCAAGTCGGGACGGGTTAGGTCGGGTTGAGGTCAACCCTAACCCAACCCGAGATATTGAACCCCGGCCCTACTCTAACCAAACCCTCAATTTTTGGGCTGGGTTCGGGTTGGCCCGATTTTGCTATTTCCTTTTACCCAGTGCTCTCATTTCTAATGTTAAAAAAAAAAAAAAGAGGGGTTTTTATTGATTCCCAAAGAAAAGTAAGGCTCAGTTTGGAAAGAGTACAAATACAAATATGTACAGTGCAAATACATACAAAAATATAAGGTTTTGCACTATACATTTGCATTTGTACTCATTTCAAACTGACCCTAAGGGTTGCTTACCAAAAAAAATAAGGGTTCAAGTTAATTCAATTTTATCATTATTAGATATTATATATATATAAATGAACATAATTGTCATTCTAAAAATTTTGCCTTGAAGCTTGTGGCATACAATATACATTAGATAGATGAACATATACATGCATACAATATTTATACTAAAAATCATAAATGCCTACATATATTATATACATAAATATTTACATACATAAATGCATGTTTGTAGCATGGTTTTGAAAATTAGACTGGACTAGACAATTGGATTGGTTGACTAGGGAACCGGTCATGGATCCAAGTATGGGTTTAGATCTCAAAACCACCTGAATCGGCATTGATTTGGGTGATCGAACCATTTGACCCAGGAACCGGTGGTGAAAACAATTTCATTTTTGGTCCAATTTTTAAAACCATGGTTTGTAGAACATTTATACATACAGATATAAAATTGTGTGGGGTTCGGATTGAGTCGGGTTTGTCATAGCATCATCCCTATCTCAACCTAAAATTATATTAGGTTCATACTTTTCAACCCTAATCCTAACCTGAACTTCAACCCAATTTGACATTTTCAAGTTGGGTTTGAGCTAACTTGGCCTAAGATGCAGCCCTAGGTTTGAGTTCCTTTTTGCTACAATATGATTTAGTGAGCTTGCCAATGTTCCTCTCAAGGTCTTTTATGTGTTGTTGGGTAGTTTACTATAATAGAAACCTGCCTAGCAAAAAAAAAAATATCCTGCCTAGCATTTGTTATATCTGTGGTTGTCTTGGCCATGGATTCTTTAGGTGTAATGTTCAATCTCATTTACGATCCTAAAGTTTTGAAAGACAACCAATGAATAATTATGGGCGTTGGCTTTGAGGTAATATTGTTGTGAGACTAAAGTGGAGAAGACATGTTTTCAAGAATAAATGGAGGAAGACATTGTAGGCAAGAAACTAGTTAAGGTTCTATGAGTTAAGTAATAACAATATTAGTAAAATAAGATGGGAAGCTCTTCAAAGACAGATGGGCCATCAACAACTAAAGGGCATGGCAGTTCAATATCTAGAAGTCTAAATCTATACTACTATTAAAAGTGTGAACGAGACTATGGAACTTTTTTATTACTAAAATATCCTAATTTTTTAAATTTGGTCATTCTCTAATTGTATTGACAAAAATCTAATTTGAACAACCACATTTCTCATCATTCAAATCCCACTCATTAAGTCTTATATTTAAGATATTAACTCCCATTAACATTTATTGAATCCTCATTTTGACTAGAATACCCTTATTTTTTAATTTGCCCCCTCTTTAATTGTGAGGCACAAAATGTAATTTGAACTACTACATTTCTCCTTGTTCAATTCCCTCTCATTAAGCCTTATATCTAAGGTACTTACTCCCATTTTTCATTGAATCCTATATTAATTAACTGTATTAAAGAAAAGCAAGTGTGATAAATTATGATTATTTTCATCGATGATAGAGATAAAATACAAATTTAAAACCAACCAAAAAATGGAGTTGTTTTCTTGTTTTGTGGCAAATTAACAATTCAACCTTTTGGAACAAAATGTTCCAACCCATGATGTTATGCTTTAATAATAATAATAATAACAACAACAACAACAACAAATATTATATTATTAATTAAATAAAGATGAAAATACATAAAAGTATAAAAATACAAACAATTTTGTAGAAAACATTTGGACACTTCTCTAATATCATATATTCTTGATATTAAACAAAAATAAATGTGACAAATAAGAACAAATTTTATAGATATATAAATATAAAAAATATAAAAAGTTCTAGAAATTTTGGAAATATATTATTTACTATCATTATAATCATAAAAAATTGGAGAATTACAGCTCAACCCGGAATTGATGCTAATTCGCGGGCGAGCATTGGTGTATAGATTGGGGGTTTTTCACATCTTGAATGTTTATAGCTCTGCAGTGGAATTCGAAAATCTGCATTGGGCCTGTCTGTACTTTTCTATAAAAAAATTCCAACATGCAAGGCACGTTGTGAGCGTTAGAAAAACCAGCTTACTTGCTACTTGGGCTAGAAATGGAGTCTTCACCCATCAAGTAGATGAAAAGGAAGTGATGGGACCTCCGAGATTTACATCGGAAAGAATTTTTGATTTATTAGTGACTCCAAAGCCTGAGGCACCAACTAACTAGTCTAGGTAAGACTTGGATGGGAAAGGGAAGGGGTTAGGCACCCCTTTCCCAAGTCCAATAGGTGGGGCCCACATGGTGATCCAAACAATGTGATCGTAAATGCACAACTAATAACAAGCATAGTAGTGATGGGGAAAGTAACACACTGAAAATAAACTGACAAAGAATCTACCCTATTTAATTTATTTATTATATATTTTTTCTTTTTTTATCTTCTATAATTTCAATCCAAATCTGAGACCTACATCCTCCATCAACTCAAATGGATGTTCCCTTCCATACTCACAGATCAATCCCCTTTTGGACGTAGGGGCCTGAGCAAAATGGTGAAAGATTGCTCCCTCACCCATTTTCTATCAGAGCCCCCACCTTCGAACTCAGTGGAATGATCTAAAGAGAGGAAGTTCAAACCTCTCGAATCGATTCAGGCAGACATTTTAATTTGAGTACACCAGATCATCATTCAATTTAAACATCCATAAGGCACCATGTTTAATTTCATCAACAACATTGGTCATCAAATTGGAGGTTCAAATCAGAGTTAAAAAAAGATAGTAGCGATCTGATCTATAAGAGACAAGAGTTGATTAAATGATAATTTCATTACCAGATAGTTTCAAAAAAGGAACAAAATAAACTAAAACCAAATATGGAAATTACAAAAGAGTTTACTTGGGTTGTTTCATAGCCTGCAAAACCAAACTGATGTTGGCTCGGTTATGTTTTGGCTTGAGTTCAGCCGATGCTACAGAGGGAGATTTTAGAGGTTGCGACAGGGAGTCTGAACATTCGAAACTCCTGAACTGATCCTTGTAAACATAGTTCCACCACGATGCAACCACCGCCTGGTGAGTTTTGATTTGAGACCAGGAAGAAGGCACCTGTAGGCCACGGGTATCGGAGTGATCTTACATAGAACTGAAAACAGGGGATTCAATAAACAACTCTGTTCGAGGGGAAGAAGACGATCAATAATTCCTTCAGATCCGGCTACCGTCGACACCGTCGCTCGGGTTCTGATCCGCCACTACAATAGGGAAGAAGAAGAAGAAGAAGAAGAAGAAGAAGAAAGAGGGAGAGGGAGGCCGACTATGGGGATTAGAGAAGGTTGTCACCGCTATTGGGTCGTCATCGCTCTTATGTTGCTCGAAGGGAAAAGATGATGAATCTCTTATTAGCCCGAATGAGAGAGTTAGGTTTGTATTTATAATAGGGATAGTGGCAATTTTATAATTTTGAGCAAGTATGGGGCATTTTTGTAATTTTGGAAAAATGGCTTAAATCGGGTCTAGGGGATTGAATCGGGGTTCAGATCCGCCGCTACAACAAAGAAGAATAAGAAGAAGAAGAAGAAGAAGAAGAAAGAGGGAGAGGGAGGCTGGAGATGGGGATCGGAGAAGGTTGTCGCCACTATTGGGCCATCATCGCTCTTATGTGCTCGAAGGGAAAAGACGATGAATCTCTTATTAGCCCGAATGAGACAATTAGGTTTGTATTTATAATAGGGACAATGACAATTTTGTAATTTTGAGCAAGTATAAAACATTTTTGTAATTTTGGAAAAATTGGGTGAAACCGGGTCTAGGGGGTTGAGTCGAGGTTCTGGTCCAATGGTGGGTGGCTTTGATTTAAAAAAGAGGAGGGTTGAGATTGGTTCGACCACAAAGAGGGGTCTTCTGTTTGTGAGTTAGCAAGATTGGCTGAAATAAAATCTTTTTATATGGAAGGGTAAATGAAGGTGTTTTTGGCTGAAATTTCACAAGGTAGGGTTTTCGAATATTTTGAGTTGGTTGGTGGGGTCAGATTGGCCCAACTGTGCCTGGGTTGGGCAGACCTGAAAAGGGCTTGATTTGGTTAATTTGGGGCCTTGAAACAGAATCTTTGTATGATCGAGGGGTAAACAAGGTCTGTTTTGGATGAAATTTCCTAGGGTAGAATTTTTTGGGTAGTCTGAGGTGATTTGTAAGGTTAGATTGAGCCAACTGGGCCCGGATCGGATAGATCTGTAATCCGATCAATCTGAGACCTTGAAATGGAATTTTGGTAAGATTGAAGGGCAAATGGAGGTATTTTGGGCTGGGTTTTATAGGTGGGTATTTAGGGGTGTTCAAGATCTGATGATGAGGTTTGATCAGTCTTAAAGGGTCATGATCGTAGGAAATTGGGTCAACGGGATGTTTTAGAACAGAATCTTGGTTTGATAGAAGCGCAAGTGGGAGAATCTGGGGGTTTGAACTTTATGGGTAGGTGTTTTGATGTGTTCAGAGTTTAATGGTGTGGTTTGATCAGTTTGGATGTGTCAAGATCAAGGGAATCTAGGTTTTGAGTGTTTAGGTTAACGAGAGAGGTTGAAATGGAATTTTTACTTGATGAAAGGGTAAAAAAAGGAATCTTAAGCTGAAATTCCATGGGAAGATACTTCAGGAGGTCCTATGTCTGGTGGTTGTGTCTGATCTA